AAACACTCAAATATCAATGGAACTTATTTTACTGTTCAGACACTTATCACTACTTTATAAACACGAAAATTCACAGAAGAACGATATGTTAGCATCACAGCACACAACACGTGTTGGTAGAAATTATTCAAGCCAATGTACGCGTTACGATCAGTTACGTAAACTCACGTTAGTCAAGTTTCTCCTGCGCTAATCCAAGAAGCAATCGTACCCCCCCCCCGACTCTTAAAAATATGGTAAGACAGTTACGCGCTGAAAATAACATTTCTTATATTATAACTAATAGTAACAGTTTTTGATTCATTTAGTGCCGTACCTCACAAAAAGGAATAAAACAAACACAATATAATAAATAAGACTATAATAAATGTAAAATAATGAAAAGTACTGTGTTTATGTTTTGTTTCTGAAACAGCCCACTCCACTGACCGACACACCTTATCGATGTAGTTTACCTCACACCTCAGAGACATCAAGGAATTAACTGCAATAAACTAATCCACTGCGCCTAGAATTTCTACTCCCACTACTCTTCCCCTCGCTTCCCCTCACGCGCCACTCAGTGGCCACGTCTAAAAAATTTGACTGTAACTAAATAAACAAAGTGGAATATGGAATAGTCTTAGCTAGAAAAAGTTAAGTATAAAATTTGCTTCGTATATAATCAATTCTGTAAATTAAACTGGTTCATGAAGCTGGAGAATTTTCCTTTGTCTTTGTTTAATAAACCATTCAATGTTTTGGGGGATGACTTCATCAGATTAATGTCCTAATTAGTTTGGTCAAATTGAAGAGCTAATCTCCTGACAAAAAAAAAAGTTTCTAGCCGAGACAGTTTCAGATCTACGTTTATAAACAGTAAGTCGACCTATCAAAGACAAACTGTGGGAAGTATCAACTTCAAAAAATGTCAATTTAATACTGTAACCACAAAACTTTGAAACTAACCTGAAAAATTATGTGTTCAGAAAGATCTTACACCACATTCGAACAGACGGTTCACTTCAATTACAAATTGTCTGTTCGTTTCTCTTCGGAAAATTTGACCATTTTAACCATGTTTTGTAATTACTATAGGCTCCGTTCTCTTTATTATGCTTTCTTCGTACAAACCGTATGAAATGAACGCATAATGGGGACGTCGTACCTGTCTGTCCACACGTTTAATCTCCGAATTTAACAAACAAATTTCAATTCAATTTTGTGACGACAGTCTACGCTAAAATTTGATTTTCATCAGTCAAATATAAATCCCAATTCACATGGAACCCAAATAATACTAAATGTTCTAAGAATACGAATTCCAATAATAATAAATGACTAAAGAAAAGCTAGACAAAGAGTGTACTATTACGCCTATTAAAAGTAAAGTAAAAAGTAGAGTTTGTCCCACTATACGCCATGTAGGCGCTTGGGGTGAGTGGAGGTATAGCTCCTCTCTTTCTTGACCTCGGCACTAGATGGGGGTGAGTGGTCGTCTTAACTACCCGGCCGGCTTTACCCCCGGGAAAGGACCCCCCGGTACCCTTTGTAGAGTAGGCTGGGTGGGCCCCAGAACCGGTCAAATTTAAAAAATCCGGAGAACGATCCCAACTATAACCCGTCCGAACTAACTCCATAAAGCAAAGTCCTTATTGAGAAGCAAACAGTACGCCCAGCTAATAAGTTCCCGCCTTTAATGGAAAATAAATGTTCAGTACCGTGTTCACAACAGCCAGACACCGGTCCGTATCCTGAGACAGATAAACCCAATCCAAATCTATTTTACTTTATTCCACTGTAATATAATTCTCCCATCTACGCCTACGTCTTCCAAGTGGCCTCTTTCCTCCAGACATTCGAACCAACATTTTGTCCTGTGGATTCCTAATCCGCCCCACGCATACTACATATCCCGCCAATCTGATCCTCCTCGATTTGATAATCCTAATATTTGGTGAAGAGTACAAATTTTGGAGATCGAGATTATTATATTTATCCAGTCTATGCGCGGTATATGCCCTGCCCATCTCATGCTCCTTGATTTTATAACCCTAATAATACCTGGTAAATGGTACAATCCGTGAATCTCCTCATTATGAATTTTTTTTCCCCAATCTCTCGTCATTTATCTCTCTCGGGTCCAAATATTTTCCTAAGCACCCTGTTCTCGAATACCATCAATGTGTTATTTTCTCAAATGTAAAAAGCACCCATACAAAACAAGTAAAATTACAATTTTTATAGAGGAGTTCCAGCCAGAGTTCATTAGAGCATACTTTTATTATTCAAACTTTATCAATCTTGTAGTAAACACCTAAAGCCCACAACCTGCACTACAAATCTTTGATTATGCATTTTGTAGTGTTTTGTATAATTATCACTGTAAACAGCGATTATTTATTTCCATTTAATCCTTGGAATTGTGAAATGTTGTGTTCTCTTAGAGGTACGGACTGAATTATAAAATACTGTTTAGAAGAGCTTCGACTTCATAGGCTTATACATATTTCAAAACAAAATCCTACAACGAAAGTTAATTTATGCTGGGTTACTGAAACGATATGGAGTCAGACGAGAACATTTTTTGTGCCCTTAAGTAACGTGGTCCCCAAAAAAATTACGAGAATTTCTTCATTCTGAATTTCATCCCTACGTGTACGTGTTGTGCACAGATCTCTCCCCTTCCATATCTGAGACGTGCCTATTCGATTGGCGTCAATCGATTTTCGAAGAATTCTTTGCAATTCTGCATACCTCATTTAACTCAAATTCAAAATCCTTAACGTACATTTTAACACAAACCAAGTAAAGGTGTATATAATAGGCTATATTTACCTTATACTTCTTTCAACCATCCACCCGTAGACTAACACAATGAATACAATGCTGGAAGAAAAAGAATTCTTTAAAGGTTTCAGATCTATAGCACCAGGATGGGTACGTTATTAGGTGGCGATGATATAAAAGTCTGAGAACGTCACGCTATAAAAATTAACATTTCTATTTCCTTACGTTCTTTTTTTCCATTCTCGTGGCAGAAATAATGGCTTATAACTGATAACTAGAAGCAGGAAAGATAGCTGAGAGGTAGCTTTTGCACGATTAATAACTTTCAATTTGAGCTTCATACAAGAATGGGATCGATACTAATCGAAATAAAATTCGACAGACCAATTTCGATGTAGATTCCATCCAGATTAGATTTAATCGTAATTCGTTCAGCAATTGCAGACATTTAATACTCAGAAGGAAAGACAAACACAACCTGTAAATCCTGCGTTAATTTTATCCATTAGGTGCAAAGACAGCATGAAAATTAATGCAACTCTTCCTGGAATTCGTATTCCAATACACCATAATCAGTGAAGCTACATAGGACAAACAGACATCTTTGATTAAACACATCATATACAATTTATTTAAAATTCTAACAGCGACAGCCATCTAGCGGTGAATGTATCAACTAATACTGCCTGCCTCGGTCACTCAATCGTAATTATATCAGACAGCAACATTACGTGTGCGATAGATTCTTCTCTGTTCGTTTAACTCTTAACTCAAATCTTGTCTTAATTAAAATATTTTGTCTTTATCTTATGGAAAACACAACACTTCACTGTTGCAAATGGTTAGGCTGTTAAGAGAAATAATTTACTATGAGAATCGCATGAAACAGACGTTGAGGGGCCAAACGCAGAATTAAAAGGTTAAGGCAGCCATCATAATTTTATACGCTGAAATAAAGTTTAAATAAAATCTTAAAATAACTGATACCACAAATAAGTATGGACTTAAATTAGACAGAAACGTAAACTTACGTCATTAAGGCCCATAACTTATTTTTTGGTTTGGAATATATAGATCTATTCAACGAAAAACAAGGCTCCTGGATTTTGAGGGGCAAATTCAAACGAACTCTTCCGCCAACTTCTAATGTGGACGTTTCACATTAAATTAAAAAATCACAGTGATTTCTTGCCACAGAAACCGAACGTCTCGACCGAGTGCATAAGTACTCCTGCTTCGTATTCTGGAGGTCCCAGGTTAAAATCTCGGACCGGGGCCTGGCTATCCTTACAGAGGCATTTCGTGATTTTCCCCAGTCCCTCCAGAAAAGGCCTGGATAGTACCTTAAATCAGTCCATAACCGCTTTGTACCAAATCTTTTCCAAATAACTCAAGAAAAATTCATGACTCATACCGTCATTAAATACAGAAATATGAAATATTAACGACGTTGTTATAGGCCTATAAACCACACAGCAAATAACTTAAGCCATTTTTAATTTATAGGCACGGAGTACAGAACACCAGCTGTGTTTATATTTCTTCAGTCTACGAACAAATGACTGCGTTCGGAGACGTACCAATGGGGATGGGGTTATAGCACAGGTGTCTGGTAAAAGTTTACCAACGTTTCAGAAGTGCTTGCTGCCAGAGGTCTCTTTACCCTGATGATGGAGGCAGCAAGGACTCTGAAAAGTCGATAAACATCTACCAGACACCTGTGCTACAACCCAGAAAACAGCCATCTTTGTACTCGCAGCAGTGAAAACCTGAAATCTCATCAGTCAATGACATTTCAAAGGCTTCTAGTACGCAGAACATCATCACAGCAACTATTCAAAGTGTCCTCATTATGATTCTATGCACTTCTCAGCATCAGTAGTGAATATGCAGCTTCTGTCATAGTCACAGGATAAATCCGTATGCGCCCTGCATTTGTAAAAATACGAAAAACCAGTGCAGGTGTTCTATCAACCGTTGTTTCATACACAAAGTCTCCCATCATCAGGGCGCCCGAAAGATATGAGGATACAGACAATTCTGAAATGTCGGTAAACGTCTACTAGACAAAACTTGCAAAATCCCATTATTTCGACTCAAATTGGTCCAAGAAATATTCTCTGCAATTATGACAGGAACCTTCCAGCACACTATGTATAATATTTTAAATTCCCCGCTTAGCACAGCCCAGTAAATTTCATCTTCGCAGTATGACTGACCTTGCATCTCTCATCTGGTCCTAACAGATGACAGTCTACATTCACATGTGACGCAAATAGCGCGCTGTTTACCGTAAGCTAAGTCATTCGATTGAAGTTGTATGATAAGCCTTCGAGTAGCCATCATACAGACGGAAGGTTGTCATTGTGAAATAAGGAAACCAGGTATGTACTTTATTGTTGGCTACAGAAGAACAAAATGTAACAGATCCATCTAGTGACAAAGTGGTGGATAAAAACAACGGAAACTATGTAAATATACATAAGGCTTTCTTGTTTCCTGGGGGTATATTACGACGCTGTATCAACTGTTAAGGTTATGAGGTAACAAATGAGAAGGTCTGAATAATATTAGCGGTGGGGAAAAGAATGAGTCATGGCGCATGTTGCCACATACTTGAGTAGTAGGATTGAAAAAATCTCAGGACAGTTGACCTTGGTCGGAATTAGAAATGAATGCCAACCACAAACAAAGAAAACTGCCAACACCATAATGCTAAGAACGAAACAGAAAATTCCCACAGACTGTCAATGTTTTTGTCAGACATGCCCACTTCATAAATTACAATTTTTCAGTATTAGGAATCCTTGCCATTGCGTGTGGCGTTGTAGGGTTCCGCAAGATCAAATAATCCAGTTTTAATGCCTCTAGTAGTAATTGATTTGCAGATTCTAGTTGTTGCAAAACAGCCTTGGCGAAGAGCGTGGGCCAAGCACATGTACTTGCATATTACTTTTTTTTCTCTCCGTAGTTTGCCTTATGCATGTATTATACCCATTGGATAAGAGAGAGAGCCGGTCTGGACCCAGAGGCTAGAGGAAAAATTCCCTGGCCCCGTCGGGATCGAACCCTAGTCATCCCAGCCCGTAGCTAGTCACTATCGTGACTGAGCTATACCGTCTAATTAATAAGTTCCCTAGCAGGTTTGAAACAAATTGCAGAACTGAAAGGTGTGAACTTGGAAAGTGCCAGATCTGGTGTGAAAATGACGACGTTGTCAGTCCTGTTCGGTTCACGATTATACCACTAGGTTGCACCTTAATCGCCAATGTTTACGTTCTAATCATATGTACAAATGTTACGTAATTATGTAACTTCTACGAAGAACTCAGGAAAGTTAAGAAGAACGTTATCATTTCTAAAATAGAGAAGAAAAAACATGCATAGTGAGTTCGAAAGTGAAAGCGGAATTCCAAAACACATTTCTGTGCTTCATTAAGTCTATTTACGTTTGCATGTATTATTTTCTAAAAGTGCGTAATCTTATCTAAATAAACATTCTTCAGCAATTATAGTTACGATATGCCCTAAAAGAATCCGTTTTTTAAATTAATTTCTTTGGTAGTTTTAACCGATTTCATGTTATCCTTCCGGGGGGATCCCATGTTACACATCGTCAGAAGTGGAGTTCACGATTTGCTAGATGCCCCTTTTTCCTCAAATGAAAACCAAAGATTAAATCCCAAAAGTCGGGTCATTGAAATTTATAGTCACGGCTGTTATAGAAACATTTCAGGCAGTTAGCATTTCATATCACTTAAGTCTGACAGTGACTACAAAATAAAGTAGCTCCTAATAATGAGGCATATAAGGGTAGTAAGTTTTTGTATACATGTGCTTCTTCCGCAGAACTTCTGTTACATTTCAGTAGTACACATCTGATAGAGCATCATCCTACCATCATAATTATTAGTATCATTCTATTGGTCAGTCTCTATTGGCAAGACATATCTTAGTCAATTATGCCTTGATTCTGCTCATGCTGTTGCTTGTCTTTGAAAATTCATATAAACTCTAATTGTATCATGACAATAAAGTAGGGTCTTCAATAAACTAAATTATAGCTTAATTCTGTGAAATAAATCAGCAGTTACACCTCTGCAGGGCAATACATTAGTGGTAGTGAACATTAAACATATAAAGTTTAGTAATTCATTTGTTTAATATTGTGTCGTTTTCATGCGGGTATTAGTTTGGCTATCATAAACTGCTACTGATGCTGATTATTTTCTATCTGGAGGTAGCTAACATGCTGAGACACATCCAGATTCATACCATTGCAAGCAGAAAAGCAGCAGTGGATTTGATCCAGAATGGGTTAGTCAGAGGAATCAGTCAAAGTCTACAGTGCCGTAGGCCCGAAGTAGAACTAACGTCTGTTCGTTATCCTGGCGTCCGGCGAGGCAACTATGCCCAGCTAAGCGACAGACATGTGCAGCATTTTCGAAGTATCTTGCCCAAGGAGAGGGTCATAACAGAAACAGAAGATGTAGCGGGCTATAATGTTGACTGGTTAAGAATGGTTCGAGGTTGGTATGCGAGTTCCTGATTTACTTATTACATTTTCTTACATCTGCAGTCAGTTAATAGACTTTGATAACATGAGGAATACTGTCAGGATGAAATATAAAGAAATATGACACACTATGTACCAATACAAGTTTTATGAACTACATTCATTATTGATTTCAGGTTAAAGGAAAATTCATGTAGTATACAGGTCTACTAACTGTCTGGTAATGAAACATGAAGGTTCAAGTCAATGGACTTTATCCTGATCCAGTTTACATACTCATAACCTAAAATTAATTTTCTTATCATTCTCCCATTTCCCTCCTCGTCATTCAGGTGACAGTTCATTATTCATTCCTGGTTTCCTTGATCTCAGCTACATATCCAGCACATTGTGGTCTCTTTGAATTCATTGCTCTGTATAAATCACAAATTCTCTGATTCGGAGGATGTTAATCCCTCATGTAGCTTGTCTCTCGTATTTTTCTTGGGCACTTCATTCGTAACACTTGCAGTTTTCTGTCAGAATAAGATCATCATTTAGTAAAATTTAAACATTAGATGGAGTAAGTGTTCCAAAGGTTCATGTAAATCCTTATATCCTTCTTTTGAACGCTATTATCAAGTCCTGTTTCAAATTTCTTCTCAGTGTCTTATTACTTTGACATGTTGTGTCGCACATGTAATTTCAGAAAATTTCCACATGAATACACTAGAGGTTTATTATTTTTTAATGTGTAGCATTACACTGGTGATGAGTCTCGTGATTTGCAGGTGTCAGTACACCAAAGGTTTATTATTTTTTAATGTGCAGCGTTCCACTGGGCCACATAAATAATCGCTGATGAGTCTCGTGATTTGCAGGTGTCAGCCAGATTGTGCTGAAACCCAAGATTACAGAGGAGGTGTCGGCAATACTCGAGTACTGCAATGCCGAGAACTTGGCAGTGTGTCCACAGGGTGGAAACACTGGGCTGGTTGGCGGCAGCGTGCCCGTGTTTGATGAAGTCATCATCTCCACCAGTCTCATGAACAGCATAGTCAGTCTGGATGAACTCTCGGGTACAACATGTTTCCTGTGTTGCACTATACATGGGTAAATCATACGCAACATCAGACTGCGTACTGTGATCTCCAGTGGTTTCTCAAATATCACACCAGGCAGGTTCGCTCACTGACGTCAGACTCGTATTCAGGCTCTGAAATATCACACCAGGCAGGTTTGCTCACTGACGTCAGACTCGTATTCAGGAGCTACCTATTTAAATCTTGGTTATAACTATTGCTGTTTTGTCTGAGGTTTCTCACAATTTCTCTCAGTTCTTTGCAGTTGATATAGCATCATTAAGTAATATGCAAATAAATATCACATCATAAACCTTGATAAGCTCTCACGAAGATACCTCACCCTTCCTCCAAAGCAATAGCAAATGTTCCCGTACGTCCTTGCAGTTTTGAGGCATGAGGGAGCAGACAAGTGTCTTTTGTCTTCACGGTTCATTAGTGGCAAGGCACAGTTCCTAAGTTTCTGTTTATTCACATTTTCTAATTTATTTTCACAGGTATTTTGGTGTGCCAGGCTGGTTGTATTCTGGAAAATTTGGAATCTTATCTTTCTGAACGAGGTTTTATGATGCCTCTAGACTTGGGAGCCAAGGGGACCTGTCAGATTGGAGGAAATGTATCTACCAATGCTGGGGGAATCCGGTTGATTCGCTATGGCAGTCTTCAGGGTAGTGTATTAGGTATTGAGGCGGTGAGTGGCTACTTTATGAAAAAGTTTGCAGGATTAGGAATGGAGAAATCTCCACTGATAGATATTTTATGAAAGGTGTAATGGTATAGAAGCAGCATGGCCACAGTTTCAGTAGCAGACACTTCCATCTTTGCCATTTATCGCTCTGTCCATCTCCTGAAAGGCGATGGAAACTTGTGTCTGACATATTTGTAAAATTCCAAGTTACTGTTCTTTATCTTGATTTGTATCTTGGCCTCATCATCCATGGCACTGTGTTTTTTGTTCTTGCAAGTTGTATTTCCAGTAAATACTTCCATCATTCTGAAATTCTTCTTGGCAACGTCCAATGACATAAGGTTTTGTCTCCTAACACATTTACACCCTTCAGGCTATGTAGACCAGTGGTCTCCAACGCCGTGCCTGCCAAGGCTTTTTTTGGGTGCCCGCATTGTTACGGAAAGAGGTTGTACTGAATAATGAAGGTCGATCAACCATGAACATTATCAAATCAAAGCACAGATCTCGACTTGACGATTGTTTGCGAGCAGCAACATCATCCTACACTCCCAAATTTGAAAAACTGGCAGATGAATTGCAGCGCCAAACATCACACTAACTTCCCACTTGAGTAATAATAATTGCACTTATAAAACTACGTATTTTTGATTGCGTGGTTTTTCGTATCATTAAACGTTGTGTTGTTTTGTGTATTATTTGGTGTCAATATCTTATTTGTCCAGAGAAAAGAAAATTTGGCTTTGTTAATTGGTTGGTGCCTGCCACGATCTCATAAACTCTCTAATGTGCCCATAGGCACAAAAAGGTTGGGCACCACTGGTCTAGTAGACATTAAGTTTCTGTAGTAACTTTTACATCATCCATTCTAATGCCAGCATAACCTAACAATCTACCTTGTTACTGTTAATAATGATGATGATTTGTTTCAGGTGAAAGCAGATGGTGAAGTGATAGACTGCTTGAGCTCGCTGAAGAAAGATAATACAGGCTATCATCTTAAGCACTTGTTTATTGGATCAGAGGGCACGCTGGGAATTGTCACCAAGGTGTCCATCCAGTGTCCACCAAGTCCCAAGGCAGTTAATGTTGCTTTTCTGGGTATGTTCTTATATTGGCTATGAATTTTCTGAAAAATTTCACTAAAATTTTGGGTGTAACCAGTACACACAGTTTATAAAATTGGGTTAACACACATATTTAGTTACGCAGTTTGTCCAATATGTACACGGTATTTTTAAACAGTGACCCCTTCCTTTTTGGTGCTCTTAACTGATTAACATTCACACACTGTATTGCTTTTGATTTTAGGAAATCTGACCGGCTTTCTTGTGCTACTCATTTCCACTCTGCCTTGCTTTCTTCTAATATTTCCTACTATCCTTCATATTCTAGTCATTTCAGCCATCGTCATTAAAGCATCATGAAACTCCCTGTATGTCTTATTGGTATTAATTACTGGTCATGTTTAATAAATCTTTGTACAACCTCAAAAGATAAAGTGTGCAAACTTTGTTCAGACTCCTCAGTATATATAATTTAAATTAGGAACTCCTTCTTCTTCTTCTTCTATGGCTCTCTGGTCCGTATTCGGTCCATGGCCTTCTCAATTCTCCTCTTCCATTCGGTCCTCTGTTAGGTCCGTCTGTCCGAGGTTGAGGTTTTGAAACATCTTCCTTTTTACGGTGCAAGGTTGTTGGCCTTGCGACCAACCCCCAACCTGGAGGACCAGGGTACCTGTCTTAGTCTGACCTCTCCCCCTCGACCAGTCTGGCTAGGGAGGCCCTACCTGTACCTATGCTACCGCCAGCATAGCTCTTGGGGTCACTGAGGTAATCAAGCCCCACCACCACGACAAGGTGCAGGTAAAATTAGGAACTTGCTATTGTACATTTGCTGGGACATGAGCTATGGCCTTGAGATGTACAGTGTATTTGCAGCTCGAACAGTGGGTGGGGTGAAAGTGGAGCTCAGTTATGAGCGAGCTGTGACCGAGTTCACTTCGTGCGTTGAGCTCCATTTCAATAACATTGGCCCATTTATAATTAGGCCTGTCATTTTTACTGTTGTTGTTTCTAATCGGCATGAACAGAATGCAAGGCGAGGGCAGAGGCTTAAAGAAAATACGGGGATGTAAAGTAATACACAGCCAAAGTAGAGAAATGGTGATAAGTGTTTACAGTTTTATATAAAACAATAACACAGTGAGTGCATGGAAAATCAACTTGACCAGGATTTGATCCTGTGATCCCACATGTAAGAGTCCAGTGTGCTACCACAGACCAAACACCCCTATGAAATAATAAGACAGTAAGACCTTATAATAATAGTTGGAAATTAAAGTTGTCTAAGTGAGATAACAGGGGTCCGTAGTGGCCGCGTGGTCTGAGGCGTGGGCCTTCTGCCGCATGGTCGCTGGGACCATGGGTTCGAATCCCACTCAAGCCATGGACGTTTGTCCGCATTTTTCTGTGTTGTGCTGTCCAATGTACAGGCAGAGGCCTTGCGACGGGCCGATCCGTCGTCCAAGGAGTCCTACCGAATGTCTATAGATCGAGCCAACGAAAAGTTGGGACCCGCAGTGCTCAGGCACTTGAAGAACGGGTCGTTCCCAGTATTCAGTAAGTGAGATAGATTCTTCGAGTTCTAATACTACGGGCTTGGTTGGATTTTCGTGAATAACTAATCAGTGTTTTATGAAAGTTGTCTGCAAGTGTCAATATAATTTTGAGAGTTGACAGTCTTTCCATTGGATGAGATCTCATGAAAATTATCATAATATGTGCAGTTTGTGTTGAGAACAAAATCCAGCTGGAGAACATGCTTATTATTGTTCCGTTTCTTCTACCATTCATTCAAAATCATCTTCATCGTTGCCTATTATCGTTAACGTATCAATTCTGCAGTTACTATACATTACAAGAGTCAGATATTCTACAAAATAAATAAATACAAGAGCTATAAAATATATGAAGTGATGCATCTTACCTTGTAGGCTTGGACTCATTTGACGATATTTTGCGCACGTTCACGGAAGCTCGGAGTGGGTTGGGTGAAATACTGTCTTCATGTGAAATGATGGACTTGTTATCTCTGGATGCTGCAACATCGAATCTCAAACTTCAGCGACCAATTGGAGAGTTTCCATTCTACATGCTGATAGAGACATCTGGTAGCAATGGAACACATGATGAGGAGAAGCTGACCAAATTCTTGGAGACGCTGATGGCTAATGGTGTTGTTCGTGATGGGACTGTGGCCAGTGAGCCATCTAGGATAAAGGTAAGGTGTTAAAATATAAATTGATTTTTGTTAGGAGTTGTAATTCTTAGTCAATAAAGAAATGAGCTACTGATGGATGATTGTGGTTTGATTCCCAGCAAGGTCATTGGGATTTTATTTTTTATCTCCACTTCCAGGATGTCTCTGAAGTCAAAAGTATAATAAAAACATAGTCATTTTAAGGTTAGCTTCTAAGTAAAGGGTTAGAATTTGACTGATTTCTGATGACAATATGACTATTATGTGTCTTTTTGTCAGTCAATATGGCAACTCCGTGAACTCATACCAGTGGGCTTGACACATGAGGGCCTCTTGAATTCTTATGACATGACTCTACCCATGAAGCATCTGTATGACCTCGTGCCTCTGGTATCAGAACGTCTAGTTGGGACATCTGCGATCCGATGTTGCGGCTTCTGCCACCTTGGTAAGGGAGGGTTATACTGGTGACCCTTCCCTTGTTATGTCTTCACTCATAACATGTTGAATGTTGTATGATCTGAAGCTTTCATGGCGACTAAGTATAATAAATTCTTCTCGGGCTAGTAAGGCTTACACTTACACGACTGGTAGCCTGAGAATAATTGATTATGTTGAATGTTGTTCACTGTAGTGGAGGGGACTGAGTATTTTAAAGACAGAGATATCTGCTGGATGTATACACAGTTCTTCATTTGTTCTTGTCGCTGCTGGACAATTGAATTGCATCGTGGACTACACCTAAGTGTGAAAAATATTGAAAACCTTAGTCGTAGCATTTGAAAGAAATTTGTTCCAAATTTTGGTAACGTGCTTTCTTATGTTTCTCTGAAATTTGCTACACAGCCCCACACACCCTAAATGTACTTAATACACATGGCATATCAGGAGTTTTGAGTTATTTTATCTTCCAGTTATTGGCTGACAAACTTCGATGTGTATTTTTATTTATGATTTTTCACATAAAAAAGGATGAAATTTAAACCATTTGAATCCTACTGTAGTATGCTAATTCCTTGATCATCAAGGTAAAATATCATTTAAAGAGTCCTTGCTTTGATCCAGTTTACTGCCACAAGTAATTTGTCAAAGTAGTAAAGAAGGACTACCGCTCTGTCGAAGGTTAGGCAGACCAAGGACCAGATAACAAAGCATATGCCCTCTTTCTGTAATATGAATGAAGAGCTGTCTGGCTGGATGACAGAAATTAATTAATGAATGCCTAAGCATGGGACAGGTAGAAGGAATTGTGACAAAAGGATGAATAAGGGCGATGAATGTGTCAATTGGAGGCAGTATGACCTCTGAAACTGACTATGCGAAGAATAAGTTCTTTGAAGATTTCTGTCTTCTGGGTTGTTGCACTGTGTAGTCTGGTCGATGTTTACCAACGTTTCAGAGGTCATACTGCCTCCGTCATCATGGTGATGAATGTGCCAATTGGAGGCAGTATCTTTGTGTCCTGCCAGATAGTCAACAGTACTGTGTATAGGAACTGTCTGTAAGAGATGTACACTGTCCAGCAGATGCCTCTGCCTGCCTGTGTCCTGTTACTTACGGACTGTGCTTTGTTTCCATAGTTAATGTGGAACCTTCGGGAAGGGATAACTGGAGGCTTGCTTCATGATGGTTATGTGTACAAGTATGACATCTCACTGCCTCACAATAGCTTCTATGCCATCATTCCTGAACTCAGAACACTCTTACCGGCTGATAAGGTGGGGCGGATATGTGGCTATGGTCATGTAGGTATGTTTGAAGTAGGCACGAACGTTGTGTGGGGGATCCTCATGTTTGTAAGAGATTAGTTTCTCACTATTACTAACTTCAGTATTAATTTCTTCTTTGCTGCATTTATTTCTGTATGCATGACTTTGAACTTTAAGTAAGTAGTACATATTGCCTTGATAAATACTTATATTTGAAAGATGATTCTTGAACTGGTTGTTTACAAAATTTTAAATTATTCAGTCTATTCTAAAATTCTCTAAAATGCATGAGTTTGGGTACAGAAAATATATTTGCTGTTTAAATAATATGGGAAGCATTGTTAATTCTGTACACTCTTTTCAGTGTTTAAAATTTAGTAGTGTTAGTATTAATATGCAAATTTTGGATTTAGGTATATGTTCTACACAGCATGGTCGTTTGTTGACATTGGACTGTAAAAAGTTAAAATGACTCTTTTGAGGTGTGAGGTTTTCATAAAGAGGTTAACTGAGTTCCTAGAGCATTGCATTGCTTAACACTTTGGGGTTAATTTTTTTCTCAGCTGAAAGAAATTGTGCAGTTAATTTTTGATCATGTCATATCTTTGCTGTGCTGTGCTGTGTTGTGTTGTGTATGTCTATGTCTGCATGTGTTACCATATACTTTGCTTTATATTATGGAAACTACACAGCAGCATTACCCGTGTTCTTTAACCTTAAACTGTAATTATCTGAAACTTAACTAAACATGAATCAAAATTTAGTTAACATTCTAAATACAAATACTCTTTCTTTTGTTTTTCTAATCTCTCATTTTCTTAATTATCCAATTTAAAACTCTTATACTGACTTTTATGCCTTTGCTTTAACTTTTAAATATTTGTATTCTGTATTTTTGTTCTGTCTTTTAATTCAAAGGCATCCATTTTAGATGCCTTCTTTCATTATTTATTCTCAAAAATATTGTCACGACTAAAAATGAAATTCTTTAGTTATCAACAGCTCTATAAAGTGAGATAAAATATGAAATTAAACTATTAGAAAGGAATTAAATTTACAGTCGGTTAACATCTAATGAAAAATACGTAAGGTTACCAAAACAAATGGGGAATATAATGAAAAACGTTTAGAGAGAGTCAGCAAAGTTTTTTATCTGTTCACACTCAGAAATCAAATACCTCTATAATAAGATCCTTCTAAAGATTCCTAACCCGTATTATCCATGCATTACTCCTAACACATGTATGGTCTAGCTGGTTATTTGTCACAGTGGCATACCTCTAACTCCAAAGTTGAAGTCCAGATGGCAGCCCTTTAATACAGGGATGTAATTCCCCTTTTCCTGTATGATAATGGTTAATGAAACTTGAACAGGCCTACAGGCCTAACCTGCAACATACAAATGATTTTGGTTATTTTTCAAACAATTAATAAACCATGTTTCAGGGGATGGCAACCTGCATTTAAACATTACCACTCCAAAATTTGACCCTGATGTCCTGAAAATTATTGAGCCATTTGTGTTCGAGTGGACTTCTAAGCTGAAGGGAAGCGTGAGTGCTGAGCATGGCATTGGCTTCAAGAAGACGCAATACATCCACTTTTCCAAGTCACAGAGTTCACTTAACCTAATGGTTAACATCAAGAAGCTCATGGACCCAAAAGGTATTCTGAACCCCTACAAGGTTCTACCAGCACAACACTGAGATCCGTGCCCAAGCACTGTGTGTCCAGATTTGACGTCAGATGATGTTACATCCTGCAGAATATTGCGTTTTAAGTAAGTATATCCTATATCTGTTTCATCATTACCACATGATAGGTATCAGTTAGGAGACATAAACATCCGCAGTGTTTACATGACTGAGAACAAAAGATCTGTTGGCCATCGAGTAATGCAACTGAATTTTTCAGAAATTTCACCATATTTATTTACAGGAAATTTGTAAGCATTAGAAATCTTCTCTGTAAGCTACATACTGGGGATACTGGGAATGACCCGTTCTTCAAGTGCCTGAGCACTGCGGGTCCCAACTTTTCGTTGGCTCAATCTATAGACATTCGGTAGGACTCCTTGGACGACGACTACGTATACCACCTGTCAGAGCCTTTAGTAACTTCTTACATCACCCAGATACGAGTTACATTTCATTCGAAGAAGAAATATGCTGAAGATTTCTGTCTTCTGGGTTATTGCGCTGTGTAGTCTGGTCGATGTTAACCAACGTTTCAGAGGTCATACTGCCTCCGTCATCAGGGCGCCCTGATGACGGAGGCAGTATGACCTCTGAAACGTTGGTTAACATCGACCAGACTACACAGCGCAATAACCCAGAAGACAGAAATCTTCATACTCACCGCTGTTAGAACCTCAAGTCTTACAAGTGAGAAAGTGTTCGTCCGTAATTTGATGCTAATGAAGGTGTCACACAAACCAGAAATTTAATAGTGAGATGGAGAACTGAGGTGTATCTTGCCACCACTTTTGAAAACCTGTATTGTGCCAATTTCCAACTTGACTGACCACGGGTAACCAAGCTAGTGAACGTATCTATTAAATTGCTGCATGAAAGTATCAACAGTTTTTACAAGGGTGGTATTAAAATCCTTTTTAGTACTAGTATAAGGGGTAAACTGCAATTGAAAAGTATGAAATTGTCTCAGAACAGTACTTCGATATTTATTCACATTAAGTGAAAAATAAATTTCATATTTTTCTCTTCCTTTCCCATGGAAAATTAACATGCTCACAGAATATACTGGAATGTTAATACCAATTATTAGTAACATTATTTCCCAATGAGGTGTAGTATTGTTGAAAATCAATTCATTTCCAGTACCGCTGGTTTTCAAAAACAAATAAGCTCAGTAATAATGCCACCAACTTTCAATCTGGATGTATCCAATTTTTATCCTTCTCGAGAACTAGCTATCCTAAACAAGAGATTTTTATGAGTGCTTGCGACACTATTTTAGAATTTAGAAAAGGTGGTGGATGGCTGTTAATAGCATAGATAAAAACCAGTCTAATTTCTAATGACATTTTTAAAAACAGATACTGATGCCCAGGAAAGCTGGAGGCTTACTTCTTAGGGTGTTCAGTTACTTCAAGCATGAGAGCTGTACACAGTACTGTCATGTCAGAAGAACACTTTCGATGCATACTGTACCAAGCTTTGGAAGATCTTGCAACTTCACTTGCCTAGCCGTGTCTATCCGAACATGATAGATCACGAAGATTGCTCGTCTTCTCGGTTGTTGCGCCACGTAGTCTGGTAGAAGTTTACCGACGTTTCAGAGGTCCTTACTGCCTCCACCATCAGGCCCCTGATGTTGGAAGCAGCAAGGACTCTGAAACGTCAGTAAACTCCTACCAGACTACACGGCGCAACAACCCAGAAGACAGAAATCTTCAGACTCACCATCATGAAAACCTCAAACATATGTGATAGTTCACATTTCAGTTGCTTATAGGTTATTATTTTCACTGTTTCGTTGCGTTACATTTGAAAACAATATCCATGTAACCACAGTATTGAAATGCTATTTTATTTCATCACCAGGTTTGTTCGTAAAATTTACAGTAAATCAGTGTGGACAAACAGATACGTCAGAAAAGTTCTGATGGGGTAGGATTAGGATTAGTCCCTTCTATCAGACCCAACAGAATAGGCATTTTTACGAGAAGATGGAAGCAGGACCAAGTCCCAAAATGTAGTCATCTTGTTTTATAATTCTGAATGATGGATGAAGCCCAGAAAAAGAGCAATATTTAATGGAAGGAACTGGACTTAGCAACACTGGATTATACATAGTGGGTTGGAGATGAAATTTTTTTCAGGTTATGTTGGTTGAGGTGTAAAAGACCAAAGTTATTTTGTGCTCAATATACAATATACACAATTTGTAACATGTAAATATTTTACATTGCTGTATCTGAATATTACAGAATTTATATTCATATGTACTGTAGTCAGCTGTAACATGATTTGACGCTCTGACAATAAAGAACCTGAAAGTTGAATGCAGCTAACACAAAAAGCCATTAATGGACCCAGTACAGTTTCATATTACCTGAACCCATTTCTTCACAAACAATTGTAATATTTCTTTGAGTCTCTGTCAGTCTTCATGACCACTATGAAGTTTTCACACCAAAGTTTTGTTGTTACAATGTCCATCTATGTCCAGACTATCCAACTATTCATTTATTCATCCTAATACAAGTGAATAATGATATAAATGATTAAGATTTTCCTATATGTAAACTGCAATTCACCTTTTACTCATAAGATGAGCTAAGCCAGTGGTCTCCAACATTTTTGTGCCTATGGGCACATTTGAGAGTTTATGAGATCGTGGCGGTCACCAACCACTTAACAAAGCCAAATTTTCTTTTTTCTGGAGAAATAAGATATTGACACCAAATAATATGCAAAACAACACAACGTTTAATGATACAAGAAACCACGCAATCAAAAATACATAGTTTTATAAGTACAATTATTATTACTCAAGTGGGAAGTTAGTGTGATGTTTGGCGCTGCATTTAATCGGCCAGTTTTTCAAATTTGGGAGTGTAGGATGATGTTGCTGCTCGCAAACAATCGTCAAGATGGGCGTCAGTAAGTCGAGATCTGTGCTTTGATTTTATAATGTTCATGGTTGAACGGCCTTCATTATTCAGTATAACCTCTTTCCGTAACAACGCTGGAACCCAGAAAAAGTCTTGGCGGGGACCACTGCTCTAAGCAATGAAAATGGAAAAATATGAATCAGTATGTGGAATGTTCAAAGGATAACCAATAAAATACCGGAAGTAAACATGGGAAAAACCTCAGCGTTGTTCTTACCGAGACAAGAAAGGGAAAGCAATGACACATTTGGTGACTGTGCCATTACGGAAGTTGAGTTGAGATAGGAATGATAACCATGGTAGTTATCTCAGTAAAGGACTTAGTAAATTGAGTGATACACTTGGGGTATGTTAACAAGATTCAGACGAAACTCAAAATGAGTTCTTCCTATATGTGTCTGCTCCTACAGAAGACTCAGATGATGTTAAGGATGAATTATGTTAATCTTGACACAGATAAAGTCAATGGGAACAAACAGTTGATCATTGCTGGTAACCAAACAGAAAAGTAGGAAGGACAAATAATGAGCACTTGTGATGAAAATATTATCAATGCAAATGTAGGAAGACTCGCTGGTCTATGTAAACAATGCTGGCTCAAAGTCTGAAACATTTTTTCAAGATAAGACATCCATACAGAGGCTTTCACTCAAACAAAAGGATAATATAGATTATATAGTCACATAACAAACTTCTACTTTCAGGTTAAATGAAAGGAAATCTTGCTGTAATTTATTCACAGTCTTTTGTTTTCTGTCCTAAATATATAAAGATTGAAACGGACTAATGATTTCACCTTTTCTGTATCCTCTTTTTTCTGGTTAATATTAAATTTGGTCTTTCACATTAAGAGAAGAATGCAGATTGAAATTGTTAGAGAACAGGGTTCTGAGCAAAGGATTTGGAAATAGAATGAAGCTGAGGAAGACTGGAAACTGAGGAGCTTATTATTTGTTTTCTTTGTCAAATATTGGCTTGATCAAGTCAAGGAAGACAATCTTGGCTTGTATCAGAAATATAACTGACAAATGCAAAATTGTACTTGGAAAATCTGAAGGGAAGAGACAACATGGGAGCATAATTTTGAAATTGATCTTAAAAGGACTATGTTGTATGTAGGAACCATATGGTTTAGAACAGGGACAAGTGACTGTCTCTGTTAACATACGAACTAATGTTTGTGTTCCAGTAATTTTTTTAAGATTAACGACTGTTAGCTTCTCGAGAATCACACTGCTGCATGGATTTCAAAATGATTTTGTGGGTGGCATTCAAGGTATAAGAAACTCCTCTTATCATTGAATTCTGCATACTTCTCTTGTGTATATTCTGGATATGATTTCGTAATGAATTTGCTTCTATTGCTAATGTTTTTTTTGAGTAGACTTACGCAAGTGTCATCTTATGCTAAAATTTCAATATTTAATGTGAAATGCGAAGAAATTTATGATTGGTTAAGGTAACGACGTTAACATGTGCCGCTTTCTCAAGGTCAAAAATGACGTCCCACCAAGCTAAGTGTATTAATGTACGTGCATCTTTACAAGTTCATATCCAGTAATTTGTAAGTTCATATATTGAAACAAAAATTCTAAAAAAATAGTTTATTACCAGCATTATTGTCTTCTGCCTTTGCTTTAGTCTGGTGTTCATTCTGTTGCGAGAATCACCAGGTTTTGAGGTTACAGTCCGAATGTCCAGCCCGCCTTTGGTCTTGATTTGTTTTCATTGATGAATGGCTTGTTCACCGAGATTAGAACTTGCAAAGTGACAGATTTATCGCGCATGCGCCGAAATGCATAGGGTCGGCGTGAAATTAAAATTAAAAATCCTGGCAGCATATCTAACCACGATAATTTTAATTTTAAAATGGAAATGCCTTCTTTAAATGAGATTTCTACATAGTGCTGTCGTTGGCATAATTATATTCATTACGCCTATATTAGCAGAGTTTTCGTAGTGTTACTGGGCGGAAATTCGACAAATGTTTACATTTCTTATCAAAAGTTTATCATAGGCCTAATCATCCAATACACATCGTTTAATATGATCGAAAAAATATTATTATTATTATTATCCTTAACCCAACATATTTACTGAGACTTGAACCTAGGGCAGTTTTCGGGTTAGAGTGTAGTTCCTGTAATCTCCTCACCGAAACAAACAACTTCGATCGTGCAGAGTTTCCAACATACAGAGACCATCCTCACCGAGTTTCGAACCAAATACGATTTTCTGGTTTTTGACCTTTATAGAATCTGTCTCTGGTTTCAAGGAATAAGTGTGCCAAGTTTGGTGCAAATCGATGTATTTGTTCTTAAGCTATAAACGAACATTCACACGCACGATTTAAATTTTATAATTAAAATAAAATTTCTTCAAAATAGAGTAAAAAGTACGCGCCATATATTTAAACAAAAACACTCATGTGCTATTATTTTAGGGTCACGATGTGCTAGACAGGGCACATGTGCCATGTGTTGAAAAAAAATCAAAAGATAACATAAATAACTTTTCCCTGAACGCATTTGGTTAGTGGTACATTTAATGTGTTAAATTAGAATTAGCGAAAAAGGTTGGCAACCCCTGCTATAAGGAATCTGTACAAAGGGACATTTGACCTGTATATGAGAGACTAATTATACATTTTATCATATCATAAACCAGTAGTAATAAATTAAAAAATAAATTAATAAATAAAGGCGTTGTGGACCTGAGACATTTTATATCATAGTTTATTTGAACAGTGAGCCAATTCTCATAAAGCTGACAACTTAATTTGATCTTCAGGTGAAATAGATTCTATGCTGGATCGATGCCGAGTAACTTTTAACATAGAACATAACCTTATTTATTGATTTGTATGGTTTTGAAACTTGATTTCTCAAACATGAGAATTAAATACATCGATGGTGTTTCAAAATATGATGTTGAGAACATTTGGACCTGAGATGGAGGACGCAACACGAGGCTGATAAAACCTACATAATGAGAAGCTTCATAATTTATACTCTTCACCAAATTTTATTAGGATGATGAAAAAGGAAGTGATGGGCGAGACATGTAGTACACATGGGAGAGACGGTAAATGTATACAAAATTTTGGTCAGAACACCTGAAGGAAAATATGTGAGTGTAGATGGAAGTATAATATTAAAATGGATCTTGGATAAATAAGGTTCCAGTATTGACTGGATTCATTTGGTTTATGATAGGGACCACTACGGGGCTGTCGCAAACAAGGGCTTCGAAAAGATGCAGAGAATTTCTCGAATAGCAGATCTGGATTCTAAAAATGAATCTGTATGACATGTTCATTTTTAGATAATCCGCATTCTTTAAAGCGTAATTGAATGAAGGCTACATAAAGACGAGAACAAATTGCGTTATTTACTTTCAGTATGCTTATCTTATTTATCCCGAACGCGGAAATAGAACTAACTTTTTCATCTTCCTTCCTGGCAATTAGCGAGGCCTTGACATACGCCAGCGGTTTGCAGGAGTGGTCTACAAAAGGCTTTATCACAGAGCAGTAAAATTGACTTGCGCTCCGACACATAAATTCAGTGACGGAGTGAACAACATTACATCATCCCGCGAATCGACGTGATACAAAAGTCTGAGTTACTTGAAGCGAGATGACCATTTTCAACCTGCTACTCGACGGTAACTTGATGGTAGTGTAATTGAGAATTCTGCTAACAGATAGTGCTGAAAAGTGGGAGCTTCGCGTTGACATTTAGTGAACTCTCTTCAGCTGACTCTCGAAACCGGTAAGGATTTACTTTAAAGCTTTTTGTAAACATTTTAAACTTTCGCCTGCTGTAACAAATTCCACGGTACAATGCTTTTTTAGGACATCAGCTGCTTAAGAACTCTCTCGAAACCATTACCACAGATATCCACAGTTGAACTGAATCCAGTTCGGAAAATCGTAAGATATTTTTCGAACATTCACATCTTTCACCCATTTAAGCGCTGGCGTCGCTTTTCTGCAAAAACAAACAAACAAAAAACAAAAACAAAAAAGAAGAAGAAGAAGAAGAGAGAGAGAGAGGAAAAGAAAAGAAAAGAAGAAGGAAGGAGGTTCAGAAGCAAATGCAGGACAGCTTAATTTATTTGTTCTTCTTTATTACGCCGTCTCCTTTACAGGAGGTTGGCGACATTTATGAACAGGATCCTTCCATCCTTTTCTCGGACTGGGACCTGTTCATATGTTTTTTAGGTGGTTTGCCATTGCCTTCTTCTGTGTGTGAATGGAGTAATTGTAGGGATGCCACGGAGAAACCGGGGAAGCCCC